TCAATGTATGTCCATTGCTCAGTATGCACATCTTTGGGATGAAAAAATTATTCATGCCAACTAATAAAATTATTAGTACTAGTAAACTCCAAGTTTACTATGTCATTGCCTTTTCATTTAATAAATTTCCGATATATTATTATATGAGTAAATTTCAATTTTATTAATCTAAGAGTGATTTTCAGATTTATTTCTTCTCAATTACTTCAACCTTTAGGTGAGTCGTGATTCCATCATTTAATGAACTAATTTGAAGAAAATTGTGCATGTAACATATTATTTGTGCCAACATTTTTGCAAACATCAAGTTGCGAGATAATAATAGGCACACATGAGACCATATAGAAGAAATATTTATTAGGACCATTTAATGTCTAAACAATTCACTAGGTGTATGACTAGATTCACAAATATTTGTATACGTTCCTAGAACGCAGAGAATTCAATCTCAACTTTCGTTTATGATGGTCTCACAATTAGCTTGCCTTGCTAACAATCATTATAAGAAAACTCACCATTTAAAAGAATTTTTGGGTTCTTGAACGGTTGTCCTTTTTAATTTTCCATAATTCGTCTAAACATTATAGACTAATGATGTCTCAGACAATCATGCCAAATTAAGAAAGTATTGAAATTGGAAAACTTCTTATTTATCATAGAATGTGCCTCAATTGAACTAATTCTTGTCCAATACAAGTATGAATATAAATCATGAAACATTTCTATAATACATGTCTTCTTAGAGACATTCTTGATGATACCACATCGTTAACCAAAGGTCGCAAACTTTTATCATGCCTAGCATGGTGGCTTACACCTCATTCCCTTTAGAGAATGAATCTATATTTTTAGCATTTATCAAAAATTCTCATTCTTCATGAATGAAACACAAATATGTGAGCATATCAAATAATGATAACTTTAGTACCTCATTCCATATCTATGTGCATTATTCAATCACTTGTATTCTTTCAGACATATTATGCACTACAACCACATTCATTGTACGTAATGGAGCAAATTCAGTAAATTTCATGACTTCTCATCAAAAACACATTAGTTTTTCTTTAGTCATTATTATATCATCAATATGGTGCATTGAGACTCACATTCAATGTCTTATCCATATAAAAGTGTCTTAGGTCATAAATCGATGAATCTTGAACCCATCTTATCATCATAGTGCATCAGGACTTTAACCTAATGTCTTACCCTCTTTTTGCGATTGGACATAAATCCACCGTCTTATTCTTTTGATGCGATAAAACTTAAATCTATCGTCTTACCCATAATGAGGATCAACCTCAAGCCTTCAAAATAATTGTAATTTTATCACTTTTGATGATCATTAATATGATCGTACATTATAATTACACACAAAATTGAGATTATTGATTTATTATAATCAATATTAGTAGTTAATAAATATAGCTTAATAGATCACATACCTCATATAAAGGTTGAAAACATACCTTTCACTAAATTGTGCTTATTTAATTATTAAAATAAATTAAGAAATTCTCTTCCCAGTCGATTAATATTAAATGTATAGAAAGTCGACAAGTCTCTTTAAATACTTACTTTAGATGGTACCTCCAGATCTGTTACATAAATAATTATTAACATAAAGATAAATCAAACCTTGAAGATATAAGAATCTTATTGCATAACTTATGCAAGATCTCTTTTGCACTTTTCCCGTCTTCTTTATCATTTTTTAAGAATAGAACAATCATGCTGATAACGTGTTATGAAACTATATAAATTTAGAAGAAGAAGAAAGTAGGGAGAAGAGAAAAGACTTCTTATTTCTCTTGAAGTATATTCATGATTCATTGGTCTTTCACAAATTTTATTTATAATTAACGAAAATCCTTTATTTATAGGGAAAACTTTACTTGGTCCCAAATAGGATTCCTAATCATATCCTACAAGGACTCCACATAATTAGACATTCACTGTAATACAAATTGTTTATAACAAAAGCTTATTTTTAAAAAACATTTTTCAACTTCAATTTTTCTTACCCACCCTCACCCCGACCCCTCCCAGCCAACCCCTACCCCCCTCCCCAAATAAAAATTCAATGTTTATTTTTAAAAAATATTTTCAATTTTTAAATTGTATTTTCACTCTATCCCTACCCTCAACCCCAGCCCCGCACCCCTACCCCCAGAATGATAATAAATTTAAAGTTTATTTTATAAAAAGTACTTTTAATTTTTCATTTTTCACCCTCCCCCCATATCTACCCTGATCTTCCCCCCACCCCCATCCCTACCCCCACTCCACCCCACCTCCCAAAATAAATTTTCATTTTGTTTGTAAAAAATATTTCTAACTTTAAATTTTTATTGTTTCCTCCCTACCCTCCACCCCCCCTCCCCTCCCCCTCCAAAAAAATTGAT